ATGCCAAAATCCCAAATCCCAAATCCCAAATTATGATTAGTATTTTTTGCCAAAATCCCAAATCCCAAATCCCAAATCCCAAATTACTAGTATTTGGGATTTGGGTTTAGTCCTTTCTCTTTAATATTAAAGGTAAGGTTATCAACCATTAACGATGGGAATGAGACAATGAATGTGAAAATACAAATTCTCAGATAAAACTATTTTGAGTAGGTTCAGATAGAAATTTTCCCAAATAAACGATAAAAGAAAATCTAGAGCAAAAGTTAAGACAGCAATAATTAATAGTAGTGGAAATTCAAAAACATATAAATATTATGATTATTTTGTAGAATGGATAAATAATAATAATAACATTTTTAAGAATATTAGACCTATTTGTTGAATTGATAATAATAATAATAATGACATTGATAATAGTTATAATGATAATAATAGTAATAAGTTTCAATAAGACGAAAATTTTAAACATCCAGATTTTATCTAGATTATATTCTCCCTATAATTTTAATTGATTTAATAATTTATTATTATTAACTACTACTTACACAATTTCATTTTATAGTATCTTGTTATTCTAATTTTAATTCGAAAAAATTCCCGTGAATTTCGCAATAATCTTTCCATAAATTTTTCCAAAAGTAGTGGTCGTAGTAGAGATCGAAATAGTTGCTATTATTTTTGTACAAGCTTTCGGACATGGCAAGTAAACAGTGAGTTTACAAAAGACGATCTTTGTTCTTGAGATAACAACCATTTCTATCAAATTGCAAATAACGTTATTGGTCGTGAGGTAAGGGTGATGGTGTGGTAGTAGCTTCGTAATTTGTGGGATAAATGGTTCTAGTATTCTTTTCCTGGGTGATGAGAATGCAATTTTACGTAATATAATAAAGAAAAGATGAAATGTAAAATTTTTATTCATAAATTAATACAAATAACAATTCAAATAAGAACAACAAATAGGAATACAAGAATGTTTAAATTTTGAATGTCCAGCATGATATTTATTTTTTCATTTGTATTTTTATCCATAAGTTATTGTTATTTGTTTTACTTTTGCAAGCGTTATTTATAGTTATAGAGATTCAAAAATAAAAGAATTTATATTAGATAATATATTAATATTATAATTAGTTCTTCAAGTACTGCATTAAAATATTTTTACTACTATTTAAACCAATTATATTTTAACTAAAAACCTTTATTTTAATTTTTGTGAAGAAGAATATATGGTCCTGATAAGTGATTGGTATCATGATCCTTTCGCTGGACTTCTCTTTAAATGCTTGGCACCTCATTACGCAGGTTTTAACGGAAGTTATTATGTGATTAATTTATGATTTCTAATTACATTTTATTGTACATTTTTATAGCACCCTGATATTGCTCTTATACGTGGTCAAAATAACTGTTCGGCAGCACTAGCAAGTATTAATTGTAATTCTAATGTCACACTAGTGACTGCGCATTTTTTACTTTTTCCATTTATTGAACTTCTGTAAGAGATACTGATGCTAGCATAGTGAACGTCTTGCCACTTCATAGCAATTAATAATAATAAATATGAAACAATTAATAATAATAAATATGAAACAATTAATTAATTGTTTTAATCATTAATTTATGAAATGAATACTCCGTGTCCTTACCCAAATGAATGTTTTGCCAATTCACCCTATTGCCGATCAACCAGTTGGCAATTAAAATATCCATACTAGTATTATTAAAGCATGTTTAGCTCCTAGAACAAATTATACTATCAACTATAATTCTTCTATCAATCCCATTGCTACCAGTATTCTTCACTATGAAGGGTGCTGACCACATCAACTGTATACCCATTTTCAAATCCACCAGTCTGTAGCGATCTTAAGTCTAACCATTTGAAGATTGCTCAACCTTACTGATGAATTAGTATTTAACGTCACATTCTCTTTGATTTGAAGGATTATTGAAAATGGATTCAAAAGTTGAATTATTGATTTGGAAGAGACTAACATCGTCATTACAGTAGAGAATTTTGAAAAAAGAAAACTTTGCTGATTTCGAAACAAGTCAAAATGTATATAGTTATGATCATCTTTACGGGTGTGTTCAAACTACTTTCTTAAATGGTGAGATGAAATGCAAATGTTTAGGAAAGTAAAAAAAATACAATCCTGAAACAATTTTAATACTCTATTTTTTTTATTTTTATTTTTTTATAATTTTAATAATTAAAAGGACTTTTCATATAATTTGAATACTTCATTTTTTGTATTTTTAAATTAATCAATTGCATGCATCATTAGAAATATTACATCAGCTCTGTATTTTTAACACGTATTCAATTAGAAAATTTTTATCAACTCTGTATAAAAATAGTTATAAATGTAAATTATCAAGTTAATTATATTGTGTTTCTATTCTCAGAATTTTACTTTTATTAAAAAATATTTATTGTGAAAGAATTTCTTCTTCCCTGCTTGCATGCGAAACAACTATGAGAATGAGAATTGATGCAAGCGTTAACATTATTATTAATTTTAATTTTGCTTGTAATTTTTAAATTTTAATACTATCAATGTGGATTTGGAATATTTCAGGTATATTTGCGCATTGTCAAAAACAAGTTGCACTTCTAACGCTTGATTATTATCTCAAAAAGAATGCCACTTTTGAGAGTTTTACTTTAATATTCATTTAATAAAAATATAAAATTTAAAGACCCACACCTTCAATGAAATCTCTCAAATTTTTGAATATTCACTTTTTCCTTTAGTTTTTATTATTTTGCCACTAACATAAACTCTGCTCCACATGACAATTATGCTGCTAGTCTGATAATAAATTTTCTGATAGCATCCCATGTTTTATTATCTCTTTAGTTGCTAAAAATTCAGTAATTAAAAAAAAAAATACAGAGATTAGTTTCTTTTAAATTACTTTTTTTAGAGTAAAATAGTTTAGAATTTTATTGACAGCAGAAAAAACTTTAGTCAGAGTACTCAAATTAATTCGATTAAAATAATATTTTATATTGTATATCTGATTTATAGTTTTCTATTTAATTTATACTTTATTTTTATTTCATTAATGTTTTTATTTATACATTAATTTATACTTTTACTTTATTTATATTTTATTTATACATTTGTTGCAACAATTCAACAATAGTTTTCGAGTTGTGTACTACAAAGGAGTAACTTTGAAAAATCATTCTCACAATCTTTTCTCGAATATATAAAAGACCACAATTTCGGACCTCTTGGTGATCAAATATATTTCTTTTGGATTTTCTTCGCAACAAAAATTGCTTCTTTATTTATAATTTTAATTTCTTGAATAAATATACTATGTATGATCTTTTTTTTTTGTCTCTCTCTTGAGGAATGAAATTTAAGATATTTTTAATTATCAGTGTTGCATTATGTGGTTTCTATACCATTAAATGGAAATAACATAACCATGTTATTTCCACTTAGCTTAGGTTATGTATGACGATGGACCATTTATGTATCGTCACTCGAATGACGATGAGTTTACAACTGTGGTGGCACGAAAATGTCTGCGGTCATTGAGAGTGGCAAGCAGAGGTGGCAGTAGTACTAAGATAGGGCGTGTACTACTATTTGGGTGAAGTACAGAGGTGACTATTTATTCTTCCTCGTGCAACACCTCCAAAAGAAAATGTGTTCTGGGTGGCAACTGAGGGTAAAAAGAAAGATAGATAAAGAAGTAGTGATCGCACAGCCGCAGAAGAGACCTTCAGGAGTGAAAAACGAAGAATTTTTCCTTTTATTATCATAGCATTTTTTTATTATAATAATAATTTTATCATAATATCTGCTTATAACAATAATAATAGTAATAATTTTGTAGTGTTTCGAATTAATATTAGTAATAATTTTCATAATATTAGTATAGAAGATTAGTGGTAGTCATAGACACAACATCTTGTAATATTTCTACTATTAAGTTTCTATAATAAAATTCATCTACTTAAATAATAAACTCACTTACCTTGCTTAAATAAAATTTCCATCAGTAAGTCTACTCTAATTTAAAAGTGTTCAAGTAATTGGTGAAGATACTTCTACTCCTCTTACTCATTATACCTCTCAATCATTGTAATTGTTTGAGTTGTTATCTGTGCCAGAGGCCAATCCTGCTAACAGAAAACGTGTTGTAGAAAAAGATAAACGTGAGATCTTTGAGTAACGGCAATTTTGAATCAGTTAGACTGTTTCGTGCGCTTTACCACAATACTTAGATATCCACATCCTATCGCTATAAAAAATGTGATGACGAATTTATATTCATCTCATGTGATATATGGTATATCAATTTGGTGATCCCGACTGATTTTAAATTTAAGATGCACTCGAGATAGGTTATTAAGGGGAATGTGGTTATTCCCTATCAACTATGTTATGATTCATTTTTTAGGTCACATGGGTAAAAAAAATAAAAAAATGTACCGACAATGTATTCAGTCACGTGTCATCATTTGTGGGTCCGATGTGAGGGCTAATGCCCAAACCTGGCACATAGTGCCTTAGCTTTCTGGTTAATTCCTCTATAAAAGCCAGAAGTTGAGGCACATAGTGCCGAAATAATATTCATATGATACACTCGAATACCGATCAAGGATGAGGCACGTAGTGCCGAATGTTACCTATTATGTTGCAACTGAATATTGCCAGAGGATGAGGCACGTAGTGCCGAATTGCTATCTGTTATAATGCACTCAAATATCACCCGAGAATAAAGCACTCCTCTCTGGTATTACGTAAAAGCAAAAATTTATCTTATCTGAAACCCTTTTTCGTATAGTTAATATTATCCATATATAATATTACTCCAATTTGATGTTATGTAAAAGCAAAAACTTATCTTAGCTCTTTCTTATATAATTATTATTGTGAAGCAATGACCCTTCAGATCTATCTTTTATATAATTATAAAGTGACTGCCTCTGACAAAAAATAAATGATACCTTTATTATTACTCAATTATATTACATGTAATTAAACCTTTTGTGTTATTTTTTATTGAAGCTAATTTTTCTATATAGTTATCAATCAATCCAATAAGTGTATTTCCAAACTCGTCATTTCTTTAGTCCTTCCTGTTTTCTACTACTTTTTATAGTATAACCATACCACTTATCTGCTATCGCATTAATCAGTTTTATTGTAGATTTGAGATCGGGTGTTTTTTAGCTCGGGTTTTAAAACCAAAAAGCAATAATGCATCTTGACGAATTTTAACAATTGTTTCACAAGATTTTTCTAAAGCTTTTGCTACAGTATCACCAGAAAGAATACGTATATCATCTATACTAATAAAGCCTAATAGTTGAAAAAGCTCTTGTATGGTTTTTTGTTGTTTTGTCAAGTATTCATACTCAAAATTAATATCATTGTTTGAACCATTATCTGTAATAGAATCATTACTATATACACTTGACATATCTTCTTCATCAGCAATATAATATTCTGAATCACTCATATTTTGACTAGTTACTTTAAATATTAAAGTAACTATTATATAAGTTTGTATAAGTATTTCGATGCAAGAAGATTCAAAATCAATATATTTTATTATAATATATATTTATTGTAGTTACATCTACGGTGGGGTTGTTAGCATTGAAAATATAAAACCAAAATCATTTAAATAAATTAATGATTGTTGTTATGCTAATGTATTGGAATCTGAAGAACTATCAGAAAAATTGGAAAAAAACCTAATCGAATCTAAAGCTTCATCGTTAAGAACTCATTTCTTTTGTATTTATCATTTAATCTTAGTTAGTAATGAGTGTAATGAATTTAAAGGTTTGAAACAATTTTATTGCCAAACTTCCAAATTTTGAATCCGAAGAGCAGCATTATGTTCTATATTAAGGATGACTTGCAATTAGAAGAAATTAAAAATTGAGATTATGTTATCATATAAATGGGGAATTTGCAAAATCCTACTTTGCCCACAAATTTGGAAGAATAATCCAAAGAAATTTCGAAGCTTTAAAAACAACTCTACAAAAATATTTACTACTGGTTCGTTATTTTCATATTTCCGAGAAAGATATTTGGAGAAATTAAAGCCACACAGTATTCTCTATATGTAGGTAGCTTTGGGATGATTTAAATCAACAATTCATATTTCCAAATCAACCAGTTAAATCACTTGTTTTATCTTCAAGAATTATTTCAAATCCCGATTTACCTCAAAGAGTAAATGAACTAATCTCGACAATAATCAGAGAAGAACATATAGCAGCAATTTCATCATGGATTAATTGCATATCGTCCATTTACTCTTTAGCAAAAGTACCGTGAAAACTTTAATTGATTCTTCGAGGAATTAAAAATGGTTTTAGGCCAAAAACACTTTCAGTAGTGATTGCTAAAGTTGTAGGAACTGATGAAATACTTGGGTTATAATCAATTAGCTTGAGATAATGAAAACATTATTACGGAAACAAAGGATAACTTTGAAGTTTCATTGAAAAAGGGAATATGAAAATTCAATTCTCGGCAGAGTTAAAAGTAAAAGCAGTACCATAGTATACTATGGTTCTAATAGTAAAAAGACTAGTCAAAAAGACATGAGATTCATGTTTTGGTGCTAGTGAATTTTCATTAGGATCAAAATTTAATAATAGATAAAAAATGGTGATAATTATCTTTATAGTTATACAAAATACATTAGAAAAATTTTCTATTGTAGATTATGAAGTATTTACGATTATTAAAAATAAATAATTTCAAAACTCCAAATGTACAATAAATATTTCTCATTATTTATTTTGTGCCATTTCAATGATAATAAAATCTATTTTCTTCTAATAAGGATTAACTAATACTCATAATAATCTATTGATTAGAATTCTCGCATTAAGGTCAAATTTAAATTTAAGATGATTTCGTCGTAAAATAAAAATTCAAAGTTTTACGAGACAAACACCATAAAAAATGGAAATCGGTTTGCATAAATAAATAAATAAATAAAAATAAAATAAACAATAACTGTAATAATCATAGTAGTAATCGTAATAAAATTATCATTGAATAATTTATTCTTTGGTTATTATTATGTTTATTATTCCGTTCGTGTTTAACGCAAATCAAATAATGTACATACCATAATTGAATGTTATGTTAATATTATACAAACGGTAATGCACATATAAAATAACTGCATACATATATAGGTAATAACAATGATTTTATTTAATATTCTCTTAAATTAGTAAAAAAAAAAAAAATTAAAAATCTATAAAAAGAAAGAAATAATGGTTATGGTATACTGAGTATTTGATTTCTTGTTTGCCCTATTACGTACTAATCGATCCAGTAGCTACGGTTGAGCTAGAAGAAGAGAAAGAAGCATTTCTAGCAGTATTATTAATGCGTGCCACCTTAATCCTTTGATACTTGCTCTCATGGTATCGCTCTATCCTTCAAACTGTAATCCGAACACCTGAACCCGTGAAGAAAAAGAGGAAGAGAAAAGAAAAGAAAAGAAAAAAGTAAATATTATATGAAAAAATTATTCTTTTTTTAGTTCGGTAGTTTATTGCATGTAACAAATACATTGTAAAAAAAATCACTTGGTGTATGTTGTTAACTTTAATATAATATTTTGTTGGAAAAATAAGACACTAAATTTGGTATAGGCAAAAAAAATAAAAATAAAATTTTTTGATCTATGAGATATTGGCACTAAATTACTATTCAATTTTGGGTAAATTTTATGTAACTTTTAATAGCAGATAATGACGGATAAAATTTTTATTTTTTCTTATTTACTGGCTACCTTGCGATCCAAAATTTAAAGATTTTCTGACCTTCTGAACATTTTTTAGTCACTATGTTTTGTGATAACGGATATCCGCAAATATCCACAAGAATCCATGGCTTCTATACAGATCGGACTACTAAAATTATTTAACAGTAGTGCCGTTCTTTCACGGATCACGACTTAAGAATAAATCGATTTTTTGTAAAAAAAATCAGATAATTTAATTGATGAAAACAATAATTTTATTTCTTGAGGAATAAGTTGACTCTTCTTTAATACAAAGTTTATTGGCAACATTTTCTTGGTTACTACTATATACACTATTCAAAACCAAAGTATTTTTGAAATAATATCGCGTTTCATGTTCTATAATACAGTGGGTCATGGGACAGTTGAAAATTTCTAAAAAAATTACTAAATTTAAAATGTTAATTGTAACAAAATGAATGATTTAAACTTTTTTATATTAAATTTTCTAATATTAGGGCTATTATAAATATTTTTGTTAAAATTGAATGCTTACAAGTGAAGAAATTACACTTCAAATAAAATTGACAAAAATAAAATCAACTATTTTATATGAAATTGTAGCCAGAAGCGATATCTACAATTTTAATTATTAGAATTTTTCATAGTATCTAGTTAAAATTTTGACTTTAATTTGACGTGAATAAAAATGGCCGAAATTTATTAAAATTAAAGGTTGAAATAAAAAAAAATCAGATTTTAATTATCAACCGTAGTCACAAATAAAACTTTTCTTTTAATAATATAACAATAAAAATAGTTTGAATTAAATTTAAACTCAAGAATTTAGTGCATCTATGTAAAAAGTTTTAGACTTATATATTAAAAATTGAGGGAATAATTTATAATTTAATTTTAGAGAATAATTTTTAAATGTTCAAATTCAATCGTTAGTATTAATTTTAGTTCTCAAGTAAAAAATTTAAAACTTTTATCATAGATGTACCATATTCTTAACTATAACTTTTATTAATACTACTTTTGTTAATAAATTAATAAATAAAAATATTTTATATATGATTATGATTGGTAATCATTTTTGAAAATTTTCAAAAATAAAAAAAGATCAGCAAATTTTTAACAACTGGAAAAATAATTATTAAATATAGTCATAATTAAAACTTCTTTATTTACTAACATATTACCAAAAATACCATTAATTAAACTTATAGCCAAGAATATGGTACATCTATTGCAATATTTTCAGATTTTTTTACTTGAGAACTGAAATCAATACTAACGATTGAATGTTGGATGTTTGAAAATTATTCTCTAGAATTTAATCATTAATTATTTACTAAATTTTTTATGTATAAATCTAAAACTTTTGTAGTAGACATACTAGCTTCTTAATTTTAAGTTTATTTAGTATTTTTTATTTATTATTATATTATTAAATAAAAAACTTTAAGGTGTAATGCATTTTGATAATTATTTTAAAATATTTTTTTTTTTAAAAATTCAATTTAATATAAATAATTAATTATTTTAATTATAAAAACTAATATTTTTATAACTGTTTTTAATATTTTGTGGGGTAGCCTTTATTTTCAATAACTGCAGCAATATGACATGTCATACTATCAACAAGATTTTTATACATATCTTTTTCAAGTTTAACCTATTCTTTCTGTAAAATTTGCCATAATTATTCCTTATTTTTAGGTAAAGTTTATGGGACCTGACTTTTTTATCCAATTCATTCCATAAATTTTCTATAGGATTTAAATCTGAACTCTGTACAGGCCATGGAAGGTTTGTAATATTATTATTTTCCTTTCACTTTTTGTAATTTTTGTTTATGAATTGGAGCATTATCTTCTTGAAAAATATAATTCTCCTTATCTTCTAAACTATTAATAAAAGGTATTAAATTGTTTTTTGAATATCTATATATATTGATGCTGTTATTTTACCTTCTAATCTAACTAAGGGTCCAAGTTTATTTTTTATAAAACAACTCTACAAACTATTACACTTTCTTGTCCTGATTTAAAAGTTTGAATAAGACATATTTTTCTTGAGGATTTCTTCAAACATATCTTTTCCCATCTCCTCCAAATATTTCAAATCTTGATTCATCACTTCAAATAATATTTATCCAATTTTTTCTTATTTTAGTCCAATTTAATCTTTTTATTTTATTGGCTACATTAATAAAAGGTTTTTTTACACCAACTCTTCTATAAATATTATTTTTGTGAAGGTGTCTTCTCAAAGTAACTGAGCTTACATTTGTTGAAGTAGAAGTGATAAAGTCTTCACATAGTTCTTTAACATTGGTTCTATGATTTTTATTTAAAATTCTTATTAAATGATGATTATCTCTTTCTGATATAATAATTAGTTGACCATTTCAAGAAGGATTTTTTTCTAACTCATCATTTTTGTAAGCTGAAATAATATTTTGTATAGTACTTTTTGGATGTTTAATATTTCTTCCATTTTTCTTACAGAAAAATTACATTTCCAAGTACCAATTATTTCACCATGTTGAAATTCAGAAAGTTCTTTAAGTTGAGTAGTCATTTTTATAAAAATTTTTTTTAAAAAAATAAAAATTGTAAGATATAATTAACTAATAAATTGGAATTAAAGGTTGATGGTTAATAAGTTATTAAAAAAATGACAGAATTCTATTTAAATAATTATAGTAAATTATAAACAATACAACT